TGTCAAGAGCCACTGTTGCTACATGCTCAGAGTGATTACTTGCTTTATCGTTGATATTTTTTGCCTAACTGAAGTCAGGAGATAGGCATGATGCAGAAACAAAGAGCCCCTGCTCGAAACTTGGGAGAGCAGAGCTGAATCACTGGCATGTCTTGAGTAGGCTGTGAGAGCTCGAATGTGTTTGTTTTATGATTACCCAACATCTACAGTATTTTCTCTGCTGAATGCTTCTCCCTTCTGCATGAATGAAATTTCCAGGTGCGTGCACACACATCCACCCTGCACAGGAGGCCGTGTGTGTTGAATGTGTCGGGGCGCATTTGGTCTTCACTTGCCCTGGTCTAACTCTGGATGAACTCGAAATTTAGCTAAGTCAGCCCCTGGAGGAACTGCCTGCAGAGTTTGATCCCTGGTTCAAGCTGTTGCTGGAACAAATCTGTGGTTTCCACCTTTGTCAGCTGCGCTGGGGGGGGGGTCTCTTGAACCTGATGCAGAGAGTCTTGAAGGGGGAAAGGGGTGAGTCTGAAAGCAGCTTTGCTTGTCTGCTGGGATGGGCGGGGTGCCTGACCAAGTGTCTGTCAAAATCAAGGAGCAAATCTGTCCTTAAAGCACAGAAATAATTCTTTGTGATGGTGAAAAAGTCCTCGAGCAGTCACAAAGCTGGCTCTGTCTTCTGGGTTCAGATGGTTCCCCTCAACCAGCTGAGCTCAGCCTGGGCAGCAGATGTTTCATCATGTTCCTTTTTTTTTTTAATCAATGAATTGGGGGAGAATTACCAATAAGAATAACAGGTTGTTGCTCTGTATAGTTAGCATTCCATGTTTTGTACCCTGTGGCAAATAAATAAATAAATATTATCTATTTTTGCAGAGACGGTGTTGTGTACAATGTGGTACTTCACGTTTCTGTAACCCACGAATTCTGTTTGTCCTCACTGGAGTAACTTGTGTGGTTTGCTGTCTAAATAATCCATGCCAGCCTCTGTGCTTGGTTCTATCTCATTAGATCAAAGAATGCACTCATTTAAGTCTGTTTCCTTGGTGAATCCACCTGAGGGCTTAAAAAATGAAGTGGTGAAGTTAAGCTCTGATTTACCTGTTGTTTTATCTGATGACTAAATGATCTTCCTTTAATATGGCGAGTCAGGAATGTGGCCTCCAGGTGTTTCTGGTCCTGATGCTGCTCGGAGCTTCACCCAGGCAGTTGTCTGTGTGTGGTGTTCAGCCTTATCTCTTCATCAGGGGTTTGTCCTCGGAGTGATCTTTTCATACTAGAAATGTATCCAGCTCGTAACTCACTCAGCAATATTGGCTTCTGGCTCTGAGGACAGACTATGAAGCCCCAGTTCCTGCAGTTTTACTCTTCAGTTCCTCTGCTGATACTTTGATTCAAGGCGTTCAAGGGTGTCAGAGGGTTGGGGGGCTGTTTTTGTTGTCATGTTTCCAGACCGTGTTTTTTTTCTGTGGCTTTTGTTCTCGACAGGAAAACCAAAATGTTCACTAATTCACCCTTTGCTTTGCTTGCAGAAAAAAATAAAGGTGAGGCCGGTCAGAGAGGGAGCTGTTGTGTCCTTGGTGTGTGCTTGGCACTTTCTCAGGCTGGGAAGGAGGCCAGATGAAGTTATTCCAAACCCATCTCCCTGTGGTAAAACCCACCAGGCTGCAGGGCTGTGGGTTGTCAGGATGTAGCTGGCCAGGGTGGAAGGAGAGTTTGCTGGGAGTAGTTGGCCTGTTGGCTCTGAGGAGGGGATGTTGTGCAAGCTGGAGATAAAACCCAAGCCCCAAAGGCTTCTGTCTTAAGTTGGGGGTAAAAAAAACCTGAAGTTTTTCCCTATATTTGTTATTCCTGCTCCCTGTAGGACTACTAAGGTAATGCAGGAACTCCTCCAAGGCCAGGAGGAGGATTTTGTGGTGCCTTTTGTTGCTGGGCCTGGCACAAGCTGTTCAGGGTTTTTTTTTTTTCTGGTGCAAATGACCTGGAAGATGATCTGCAGCACCCAATTGAAATAAGAAATCTCAACGAATAAATATCTGTAAACACCTTCCACTCTCCCAGGTTGCTCCAGCCTGCCCTTGGACACTTCCAGGGATGGGGCAGCCACAGCTTCTCTGGGCAACCTGTGCCAGGGCCTCCCCACCCTCACAGGGAAGAGTCTCTTCCTAATCTCTAATTTAAACTTAACACCCTCAGTCTGAAGCCATTCCCCCTTGTCCTGTCACTCCATGCACTTGTCCAAAGTTCTTCTCCAGCTCTCTTGAGAGGAGGAGTAAAAGAGGGAAAAAGAAATGTGCCACGAGAGTGGTTACCAAAATTGTTTTGTTTTTTTCATAGTATGTTTTTCTCCTGCTCAGTCATGCAAAAGCTAATGCTTGACTGTAGTCTAAGAAAATTGTCATGGAAGCACATCATCTCAAGTTGCATATTCAAAGCCAGGCAAAGCTAAAAGTGGCACTTAAAACCTGTAAACACCAGCCTTCTGGAGGCCTTCTGGAGTAAACAGCTAAAATAAATGCCCAGCTTGTGTGTGGATAGTGGGATTGTCTCCTCTGCTTTGTTACTGATTTCCTGGCTGTAATTTTTGACTGTCATTGCACGGGGCAATAAGGAAAGGCCTGGTCAGTGGGGTTGGA